GTTTCGTCAAATAGATTATTATAAATACTGTAACATTGTCTAATACTTATAAGATTTATTTAATCTGAATTGCAAAGTTAAAATTATTTAATTGAAGTATGTAAATGAGCTTTAGAACTTTAGCAAGAATTAATCTGAATTATTTTCTTTATACAAAATTTTTTTTTCCAAAAACTATTGTTTCATCAACACAAGCAGAAAGTTTTTTTGAATCGTTTAAATCGGATGCTTAGTTCTGTCAAAAACTGCCATTTTTGGACATTTAGGTCCGTATCTTCCAAATGGCTGGACCTGACTTTGCCAAAAACTAATCAGCGCATCTCGCTATCAATAGGAATCGAAAGCTTTTTGAACTATTCAAATCGGTTGATCCGTACGCCCAAAAATGTACATACAAAACACACACACACACACAAACTCATCAAATTCTTTTCTATCTTATACTAATCATAAATTTTTGAATAGCATTTTGTTATTTCTTAAATTGATTATAGATAAATTTTCATGATATAGTAAGTAAAATTTCTTTGAAAAATATCTATGATGATCGATGCGACTTTCCACATGTTGTCTATTCTATACTTATTTGTGAAACTATTTTATCAATTAATTGAGCAAAACAATCACACAATTTACTTAAATAATTCAGTAATCATGTAGATTTGCAAAAAAATTCATTATTCATCAATGAATATTAATTTAAATGAATTAAAACATTGATAAATACTATCAAGTAGCAAGTATTATCGGAAAAAACTACTGGTATATAGATAGTTTTTTTACCATTGAATAATCAGTCATTTTGAATAACTCTATTTTGCAATGTTTCGGCTGGGCCAGATTTCGGCTTTCCAATTTATGAATTATGGATGACAAAAATTTAGCAAAAATTTAAACCATTTGTTTGGCCGGACTGAAGGGTTTTGTGGGCTTCAAAAAATTTCATCTTATTTGGTAAGGGATTTGGGCTAATATAAGAAAGTTTCTAGTAAGTAGATTGCTATTCGAAAAATATCAGAGATCAACCTTCATTTCGGAATAGAACTTTGCCAAGAGAAAAACAAAATACATGATGGATTTGCCTGTTAAACATAATTATTTATTAACTTTCCATATGACAAGTTATTGTAGTCATCAAAAAATCTAAATTGAAACTTTTCGCATAACTTTACGTTTCAGAGGTTTTTAAACATTTTGGTATACCTTAGAAAAAATGAATGTGTATGTCTGCGTATGTGTAGATACAATTTTCTGTCGACAATTTCGGGCATAGGCAATCATCGATTTGAATAATTCAATAAATAATCGATTCCTATTGGAAAGGAGACGTGCTGATTAGTTTTTGCCAAGTGTGGGTCTAGCGGTTTCGGGAAAACAAAGCGAAGAGTGCCGAAAATAGATATCCAAAAAATATTCAACTCATTACTGATAGGAAAAAGTGGTGATTTGTTTTTGGCATACGGAGCTAAATGTGAAAAAAATGGCAGTTTTTGAGAGAACTAAGCATCCGGTCTGAATTATTCAAAAACTTTCTGCTTGTGTTGACTAAACGATTGCTTTTGGATTAAGAAAAAAATCTTTTTTTTTGTCAATTTTTTTTTTAATTTATACTACTATTTTTCTGTAAACATATATAAACATCATCGTCCAATTCATAAGCTCTTATATTTTGCCTATAAAATAAGAAAAATGAAAGTTACAGTATTTGTAACAGTCTATTTGAATACATTTAAAGTTTTTCAAATATTTCGTTACGGTACAGAAGTTCCAGCAATTTGTCTTAAGGCATGATGCTACATACTACTGGTTTCAATTTATACTATAACTTTTTTTTAAATCAATATACATTACTTCATCGATTTTTCTCACTTTTTATTTTTTGGAAGTTAGTCGTTGTGTGCACTGAACGGCTCGATTTAAAAGGATTAAAGGAAATATATAATATCGTTTGACATCTCAATCAGAAAAAAAGTCTATTACTTACTACTGTTGCCTCATTACCCTATAGCTTAAATTGCCTATAATCTCTGCAAAGTAAATTATAATACTTAGTTATGATAAGTTATCAACGACAAAAATCAATTAAATAATGTTTTGAAAAACAGTTTGAACTATCAGATACTTTAATTACTGTATATAAAAGAAAGAAAAACTTTGAACTTCATCAGTTCTGGTCGCATTGGTAACTAGCACCAAACACAATGAAAATAATATTGGTGCAGTTGGTTGCCGTTTTTGCTGTTTCGGCCAGACACGCTAACAGAAGACAAAATTTTATAATGATATGTCATGAATTAATAAATATATCACATTGGAAACATGCTCATATGTACACACGATCTTGAGTAAGTAATTGTTCCTAATAGTTCTAAAATTCTATTTAAGTTTTTTCTAATATCCTTACATTAAAATCATCCTGCTGGTTTTGGCTTATGTGGAGTTAACCGATTATATATATATATATATATATATATATATATATATAACATATAACCAAATTACCTGATATGATTAAAAACTGATTTGCAAGATTAGTCTCTAAACTCTAATGCGTTTTGATTAATGCATAGGAAAAAATGATATCAATTTATAGACAGAACTGAGTACTCAATTCATGTGTATCAAACTATTTAACATTAGAAATGTAATCAAATTATGTTTTCATTAATAAAATATCTGATAATTTGATAAGCATATGTCTAATGATCATTTTTGTTCGAGAAATGACTTTTTTTACTTATTGGATCTCCGAAACAGCTAGACTTGTCTTTCCAAAAATTCTCAGTGCCTCATTTTGTCAATAAAAATGTTTTTTTGAATTATTCAAATCGGTTGATCCTTGTTCTCGAAATCGTCGACGAAAAATTGTATCCGCACGTACATACACAATATACACACACGGACAAATATTTCATTCTCAATTGTTTTGCGATTACTATAACTTATCCTAGTATTTTATAGTATTATATCCTATTACTAGTAGTACTTACTAGTAGTAGTAAGAACTTAGTTTCTTTAACACTGATCGTGCCGCCGTTTTTTGTATATTTATTCCTACGTGTATGATATATGAAAGTTAGTTTGGAACAAATCTGAAAATACAATTCATTATAATTAATGAACTTTTTTTAAATCATTTTAAGTCATTGATCATTACATTTTTACATCTGAGTGCATTCAATGTACATATTGCGCATGCATATTTTTTGCATTTAGAGTATTTAGAGCAAATGTTGGTGGTTTTATTTTTTCTACTGTTTTCAATTTAAAATTTCTTTTTGCGAATAACATCTGTATGAGGCAATACTTTTTTGTAATTGTTCGTTTTTCATTTTTTAAGAAATTTTCGAAAGCAGGTACCCTGTTCTATTGCTTCAAAAAAAGCAATTTAAAACAATTTTTAGACTTAAACATTTGACCGCAATACTTAGAATTAGCAGCAAATTTTCTCGCCACTCAAATTACTAAGTCTACATTGTAATATGATTTTTTTTTCGATAAATACTTATCATTGCTTTATATTGTAACAGAACAACTACGTATAGTAAAAATTAACGATAAAAATCGTTTAATATAATCATTTTATTGCAATCTAATTAGTTGTATTTACTTTCTATTCGAGGTTATTAACTTCCCGTAGTGCAAGAAAATCGAAAATGAAAATTTTTGCATTTCTCGACGTTTTGAAGGTTTCTGAATATTTTGGCATAACTCAGAAAATATGCATGTGTGTGTTTTGTGTGTCCGCATTTTTTCGTTCACGTTTTCGGGCGTACGGATCAACCGATTTGAATGGTTCAAAAAACATTCGATTGATATAAAAATGTGCTGATTAGTTTTTGGCAATAGCAGGTCCAGCCGTTTCGGAGATACGAAGCACTGAGTGCAGAAAATAGAAATCAAGTTTTTGAGAGAACGGAGCATCCGTTTTGAATGATCTAGAGAACTTTCAATTTGTAATGACGGAGAGAAGTGATGATTAGATTTTGGCAGAGGCAGGTTCAGTCGTTTCGTAGATACCAAGAATTTTAAAAAAATGGCAGTTTTTGAGAAAACTAAGCATTCGATTTGAATGATTCAAAAAACTTTTTGCTAGTTTTGACAATATAATTGCTTTTGGGAAAAAATAATTCAAATTCTTTATTCGAACCATTATTTCTCAAAAAAAATTATCTGAAAACAATCTTAAATATCAAAAAAAATTCAGATTTTTTAATTTTAATTCTGGCTACAGTTCTAAAGTTAACTTATATACTTTAAATGCATAATTTTAACTTCGTAATTTAAATCATATAACTCGTATGTATATTAGACATTGTTACAATATTTATAATATTCTATATGAAATCATTTAATATTTCTCAAATATTTTGTTACAGTACGGCTAGTTCCAGGATTTTCCTTAAGGCGCCATGCCATAACAACTAGTTTTTTCTCTGAATTAGCTCAAGTTGTATCTTAGTACTCTCTTTGAATCCTAGCGGTCACTTTTTACTGATCTTTTATCGTTCATAATACGATCAACAATTATAACTGAAAATGCAATAGGTACAAACTTTACATTACTTTTATAATATTACTTATATCTTCAAAAAGCTTGTCCTGACCAGTTTGTGGGGAAAAAACTATTTACCAAAAAAAAATATTTTTGTGTTTTCACTAAAATTTTACCGTAAGCTTTGCCCTGTTACGGTAAATGTGAATACTTCGGCGAATGTGCACATTCACCGGTGAATGAATATTATTATTCACTATTTGCTATTATCTATTCACTATTTACTATTAACTATTCTGTTATCACTATTCACTATTTACTATTACCTATCTAACTATTCTTAATTCACTATTTACTCATAACTATTAACTATTAACTATTAACTATTAACTATTCATGATGACCATAGAGATGTTCATGAGACCGATCCAAGTACGCACGTACACCATTATTTTATTTTAAATTGATTGTTTGAAAACTCCACATTCACCTAGCGTTTTGGGGAATGTGCACATTCACCGGTGAATGTGCACATTTACCGTAACACATAGATGCTATTTCTAATTGAAATTTCAAAACAGGTAATTTGACCCGCCTTTGGTATGGTTAGTGTTAAAAATAGATACCTATATTAAAATCTGAAGAAACTCACTAAGCTACATATTAAAATCATTATAAACCACATTTTGAATTAAATAACTAATGTTTTAATTTTAATATTTTAGAATCGGTTAAATTTTGTCAGAACTCTTTAACAAATCGCATTATCGGAGGTGAAGATGTAAATATCGAGGATTATGGGTGGCAAGTTTCTATACAAATATTTGAAGAACATCTCTGCGGCGGTACGATTTTAACCCCGATTTGGATATTAACTGCTGGACACTGTTGGCTGAGGTGTGTTATAATATGAGTTGAAATTTGAGAAAATTAGCATAAGATTTTTAAATTTTACATGTCTATCATGCAGACCTTTCGTGATTCTTTCTCGCTATGTAAAAATCAGAGCCGGAAGTAGCAAATTGTATAGTGGAGGAACTGTGATAAGCTTGGAATCTCTTATAATTCATCCGAACTACGCCCCAGGCCCTGACAACGATGCTGCCTTAGTTTCTTTGAAATCTCCTTTGCCCTTAAACGGAGGATCAATCCGTTCGATTGGTTTAATTCCACAAGATACCGTCATACCAGCAGGCGAAGAAGTTACCGTAACGGGATGGGGATATTTACGGGTAAACGATAAGCAGTTTGTTGTAATAAAGATAAGGTAATAATAATGATATATGAATAAATATTAATTTTGCAGCAAAATAGTGGAGACCTTTCTCCGACACTTAAAGGAGTCACAGTGTCAATAATAGATACGGCAACATGCAAAAAAGTTTACGAAGATCGTTATACAATAAATGATAAGTAAGTAGTTTTCTAACTTTAGCTTGAGAGATCGTTTAAGTTTATAACGTTTTTGTTCACAAATTGTTTATAAATTGTATAGCATGATATGTGCCGAGTACAAAGGTGACGTGCCCAAAGACGCCTGCCAAGGAGACAGCGGTGGACCATTAGTTAACAGCAACAAGACTCTTGTGGGAATTGTATCTTTTGGCGATGGATGCGGCCAAAAAAATTCTCCGGGTGTGTACACACGAACTGCTTCTCCAAGCATTAGAAACTTCATACGCAACTACACCTACATTTAAAAAGTTCTAATGTTTCCTTATTAAACAATCTTGTGTTGTATTGAAATGTGTAATATTCATTAATAAATTTGCTTGACACACAGCCAATAAAACGTTTGAATTTTTAAATTCTTCCTTAGAAAACAAAAAAATAATATGACCAATAACTTTAATATATACTTGTATATATATATATATATACATATATATATATATATATATATATATATATATATATATATATATAATAAATGGTAGTCTGTCCGAAGGCAGGTCTATGATGTGAAAGCCATTACAAATAAATGATCCCCTTACCCTTTATCCTATTACCACTATTTCCCTTCCCATTTTTTTTATTTCATGTATTTTTCGAACTTCTGCTTCCAAGCATCTTGATTCTGTGATATATATATATTTTTATATATATATATATATATATATATATATAAAACACCTACATATACTCGCATACATACAACCTTATTACACATACACTTATACATATATACATAGACATTGAAATTTAATAGAGAATTCGGACACCAACGATCGTTGGTGGGCAGAAGACAGTATATCGAACGACTTGCAATGGATAACACATAATGCTAATTTAGGTTTCTATATTTTAAATTTTAAATTATAACACACTGATGATGAGACAAACCTAGTCTCGAAATTCGTGCAATCCACATATATTATAATTACCCAGTTATACTTATTTTTCATACTGTTTTTAGATCCACTGATTATGACATTAAATTGAATATCGAAACGTTTGGAATTAAAGATTATTTTATAAATCTTTGCCTTTTCTTTGTTTGATGTATCGCCCTCAAGAACTCACTCATATATTCCAACATCAAAATTAACTACTAAATCATATATATATATATATATATATATATATATATATATATGATATTATATAAATATATATATATATATATATATATATATATATTAATAAAAAACAAATACTGCTTCATTCATCCATATGATAAAAATTGAAAAAAAAAAGAATTACGTTTTCAAAAATAATTTTAATATGTTTTGAGTGCCAATCAAAATCTTTGTCAGTAGATTAATTTAAGAACTTATAATCTCATACCCTCTAAACCTTACCGTCTTTCCCAAATTTCACATAACTGGTTTTCCTCTACGTCCAATTGCTGTCGATTTAAATTCACCACTTTGCCAACTATCTGAATTCTTCTGCTCCGTTCAGTCTAAATTTTATGACCTAATATTGTTATAAACTCATTTAATCTTGTTCCTCATCTTAATGACTTAATTTTTCCTGATTATTCTTCGTGAGTTTCAACGATGTTTCATTATTTTAAATATCTATTCTCAAATTACTTTATCTTTTCTAAACAAATACCAAAGAATTTCATAGACCAACTTGTTCATTGTTCGAAAAAGCGTTTTGATTCAAAAGTCAATTCAAACTTGTATACTCATCTGAAAATAATTTATTAACTTTTTTTAAATCTGGAAACATCTACTAGTTATCCCATCGTTCCAAATATTACATTCTTCACAGCATATTTACAAAATAGTATGAGTATAATAAATGGTCTCACCAATCGCCAAATGTAGGATTAGTTTTTAGAAGAAAGCAGAAACTATATTTCCAAAATAAATAGTTGATAAATAATCTAAAATCTTATTCTAAGTTCATTATTTTATTTACACGTATCGAGACTTTCAGGAAACTTGTCATAAGAAAACATGCTGCTTACAATAACTTGATCATCGCATCTGATACCAGTAAAATACTATTGTTTTCACTGGTAAATGAAAAATTTACCGGAAGTAAATAGTTCAGCAGTAATTTAGATTTAGATTTGGTTGCAATCATGGTTTCTGCATTTGTAGGTATATCGGCAGTACATATAATGTAAAACTGGGACCAAGAACACAACTCTGCGGAACTCCGAAAGAAATATTTCTAACAAAAGATGAAGCATCAATTATGTTTTCAAGTAAAAATTGTTTTTAACGGTTGGAAGATCACAATTAGTGAGGAGGACTATCACTCACTGAGGACTATCATTAGTTTGCTTTTCAATAGCGGTCGTTAGTCTAATTTAATCTAAAAGTAAGCATTGCTTACAGTAGCTTACAGAACAACTAATTTTGATTGCTTTCTCATATTTTAAAGGTAATAGTTAAAAAAAACTCATTTATATAGAGATTTATGAAGACATTAAAATATCATTTTAGTGCTTTATTTCAAATCTTTATGGCAACAACAAAAATATTTATCAACAATAAAAGTATTTTCAAGTTTCTATTCAAACTCATTACGCGCACATATTATTTTGCATATTTATCAACTGATTGAATAATTGCCCTAGAACTGATAAATACACAGCAGTACCATTTTGCAATTCATGATGATTGGCAATTTTCATGGTTACCACCAAGGTGGAACAAATAAAATGTTAATTTTTTTGTTTGTTCTATTACTCACAACTCTTGTTGATTCAAGAAATATTAGACATAGGCGTAAGTTCAATTTTGAAATAATTTTGAAGATTAATTAAAAGATCAATAATAACTCAATAAAAATATTAAAAGTAATATATAGCAAGTTGAACTAAATAGAAATATTTTTGAAGATAATCGTATTGTTGGCGGTGAAGAGGCTGATATTTCGGACTATGGTTGGCAAGTTTCTTTGCAAGCAAATGGTGCACATTATTGTGGAGGATCAATAATTAGTCCGGAATGGGTCCTTACAGCAGGACATTGTATTCTCACGTAAGACTTTTGTTAATCAGATGATTATTAGATCAAAACGATTACTATCAATTTCGCAATGTATTATTTGGATTTTTATTATATTCAAATAATCATAATATTAATAGTTGGCAACAACATCTATACATCTTCTAATTTAATTATGCGTATAATACTATAGGAAATTATAAAATAGGAATATATAATATAGAAATCAATAAAATACTCTTTAATGTAGAACCGGACATAATAAAATATTGCACGTGAAAGTAAAATAAAGTAGCAGTGTATGGCATCGTGTCTCAAGGCAAATTGCTGGAACTTTCCATAACGTGATAAAATATTAAAAATATTCGAGAAAAATTAAATGTTTTCAGATAGATTATTGTAAATACTGTAACTTTCATTGTAACGAAGGAGAAGTTTATGTTTTCATCAAAAAATCCGATTCGCTAATTTTGTTTTCTCGACGTTTCTAGCCATTCTGAATCGAATGAGACCAAATTTGGAAAAGGTATGTGTGTGTGTATGTGTTTGTGTGTGTGTGTGAACAGATTTTTTGCCGTTAATCGACGTTTTCTCAATAATGGCTAGTCCGATTTTAAAAATTTAAAAGCCATTCGATGTATCTCGATGAGGACTAGCGTTTATCAATTTTGCGCGACGAAAAGTAAAAAATTTTTCGTCCACGTTTTAGCCCGCAGTTCTGAATCGATCTTGAAAATTCAGAAACCGTTCGAAAGATATTGGTTGGGAATCGTGCTGATGAGTTGTTGGTAGAGATAGGCCGGGCCGTTTTCTTATAATAAAGTGTTAAAAAAATTTGTTTCGACGATTTTTATTATTATTTTTTTGATGTGGCCGTAATATTTTGACTTAAATATTACGGCCCTACGACAATTGGTTTAACTTTAAAAATTCGTCAAAGTTTGCAAAAATTGGTATCGTTTTTTTAGCATTTGTCAAAATTAGACCTTTCATCGTTTTCTCAAAAACGCCTGAACCGATTTCAGAAATTTGATAGCTATTTGATGTATTTTGATGAGGACTATCATTTGTCAGTTTTGTGCGACGATCTGCCAAACCGTTTCTTTGTCATTTGATAAAAAGTGTTAAACTTTTCGACCACATTTAAGCTCATCCTACCGAACCGATTTTAAAAAATCAAAAACTGTTCGAAAGATATTAGTTGGGAATGATACTGATTAGTTTTAGATGAAAATCTACCGAGCCGTTTTCTTGTAATTAAATGTTGAAAATAAAAATTAAGCCGATTCTCGTGGAACTTTTTTTGGCGATATATATCCTGGTCTTATAGAACTTACTGAAATATCACGGCCTTACGACATGTAGTTTAATTTTAAAAATTCATCAAAGATTAAGAAAATGAGTAGTATTTTTGACGTTTGTTAACATTAAAATTAGTCGATTTACTTGGTATAACGATGTACTTGGTCTTAATGAACATTCTAAACTATTAGAGTCCTACAAAAACTGGTTCAATTATAAAAATTATTGATTTTTGAAAGTTCATGTAACTTGCCTCAAGGCTAAATACCAAACCAACTAGTTTTTATTTTATAGGCAAAATGTAAGAGTTCATGAATCGGACAACGACGTTTATATATGTTTACGGAATTGTAAATAAACAAATCCTAATTAATCGGATTTAAAATGAAGGACACTATCTGATATTTTTGGAAATGATATAAACTGAATTGCAAAGTTAAAATTATTTATTTGAAGTATATAAATGATGTTTAGAACTTTAGCTAAAATTCGAATTAAACTTCGAATTATTTTCTATATTCAAAAAAAAATTTTTTTAGAATTAAAAAATAAAAAAAATCTTTTCCCAAAAGCAATCGTCAACACAAGCAGTAAGTTTTTTAAATCATTCAAATCGGATGCTTAGTTATCTCAAAAACTATCATTTTTGCACATTTAACTCTGTGTTTCCAAAACGAGTAGACTTGCATTTGCCTAATCACAAATTCTCCCCATCATTGCAAATTAAATGTTTTTTTGGATCATTCAAATCGGAACTTCTGTTCTCCCAAAAACTGGATTTCTATTTTCTGCATTCTTTGCTTTGTATCTCTGAAACAACTGAACTAACTTTTGCCAAAAACTAATCAGCCCGTCGTATTATCAATAGAATTCATTCAAATCGGTTGTTCGGTAGACCCGAATTCGTCGAGAAAAAATTGTATCTGCACATAAACACACATCCAATTTTTCTAATAATAAGGTATGCCAAAATGATCAGTAACTTCTGAAACGTAAAGATATTCAAACATTTTCAATTTTGGACGATTATTGTCAATTAAAATATTAAATTATTGTTAATTTACCCTGTTGTAAAAATAAATGGATTACTTCAGTTTTCTTTTAATTGTTTTATGGTGATTTACACAGTTTTATAATGCCTAAACATTCAATTTAAATCAAACACATTTTGAATAATTGGATATAATAATTTGATAGTAGATAATAAATGATATATCAAAGATATTTATTTACAAAAATTCAAGATTCGCTAATACAAATTGAAAACCTTCTGTCTTTTATTGTGGTTTAAATTATTCTTTTAATATTAAAACATATTTCTAAGCCGCAAAATAATAAAAATTTTGTTTAGATTTACATTTGTTATTTATTGTCACATAATCCATTACACTATCAAAATTCATTTATAAACTTCAGTTATAAAAATATCTATTAGACATTCTTAGCTCAAATACAGTTTTTGTTAAAATTTATATATTGTTGCATAAATTAGAATTTGCCATCGTTATTTATAGATAGGTAACATAAAAATGTAATTGTAATTGAATCAATATTGTCGTCATTATTAATTTTGATTAACTAACATAAAATTAAGTAATAAGACATATAATTATTCAGGCGGAATTGATAATTTGAACACACATTAGTTACTGATTTTAGAAAATAATATCTGAAGCACACTCTTCATATTGTATTTATGTGTTTAAAATTCCTCAGGTTAACGCGCATAAATCTTCTTGACAATTTTTGCATTTTCATTCTTTTGCTATGACTTACTTCAACTATAAAAACAATTATAGCTATTACATAGCCTATGACTAACAACACAAATGCTCCACTAATTTCACTCAATGTTATTCTGATTTTAATCTCATCGTCCAATATTTCAGTTTCATTAACGGTGTTTGATTCGTGAACTTGTAATTTCCATTTTCCAAATAATCCCGCTGCAACACATGTAGATATGACACGATCAAAATTAGTCTTGAAAGGAAATCCTTTCACATATAACATTTCTATTGGGAAAGTTATTACGGGTTCGTTAGATACATAAACTTTACGTAATAAATCCTCCGAAACATAGGATAGAAATAGTTGGCTCGTAAAAGTTGTCACATTTTTAAAATCAGCAATATATTCCAAGGACCGTTTCGCTGGTAGTTCTTTAAAATGATCCACAATATATTTAGAATTTGAATCGTTGCTATGTGAAAATACGAATAATGTAGTATCAATACCTACTACGGCAAGACCGCTTTGCACTATTTCGTCTTCACTTGAAATTTGATATTCTTGTAAAGGAAATGTGTAGGTATTAATGAGACCAATTTGAAATATCGCATACAAATTCACATTCAAACCGAACCAAAATACAAGTAGCATTCTCAAGGCATAATATTTAGGAAATTTGCCCATAAAGTTTGTTAATGCAAGTGAATACAAAGTCAAAATGGATCCAATCATAGTTTTAAATAATGAATAATCATTACTATGTTTAGCTAATAGGAAAAATAATACTGATGCAATAACAAGAGCACTTGTAGAAGCAAGGAACACAAATGGTGGTAAAATATTATAAAAATTTATCCATCCAGGTGCAAGACCTGCCAATGGTAACACAAATACTTGCGGATCTTGAAGATAATGTGTTGAGTAATCAAAGTATTTATGAATAGAAGATTCAGGAAAATTTCCGCCAATTGCAATATCTGCTTTCCGTTGATAAAGATACTCGTACATTCCAGTGCATGTTCCATTATCACTCACAATTCCCCAGTTTTCATGAACTGAAAACGATCGAAACACAAATCTGCAATTGTAATACTTTTCCAAGACCTGCAACAATAATACTTCATACCCATTAGTGAATGGTATGTCCACATCATCCTCTACTTCGAAGTCATTAACTGGGAGTACAAAAGGCGGCCAAATGATCGCTATAACTTTGATGGGGCATGCGAGCATATCATTGGGTATTTTGACCGGAAATAAATTTTCCTCGTATTTCATTTTGCCATCCACACAATGATTTATAACAGTATAATTAAACAATTCATCACCGCAACTTCCATTCTCATAAGGAAACCAAGTGACAATATTAAAGGTATGAATATCATAATCGTCGGGCATCAGTATCACACAATTGATCACATATAAACTCCAAAGTTTTTGCATCACGTATATCACTATATTATCTAGAAAATTATCAGTATCAATAAACAGTATAATAAAATATGCTTCGGGGTTCCATGTTGGCAAGTTTTGGAGAAGCAATAAGTTTTCTTCAAAATCTTCTTGTGATTGTATTAGTAATATGTACGCCGAAGTGCGTTCCAAATGTATTTTCCAATGAGAATGATCCAAGGCAACATATTTTGTCAAAACTTGCCATCGTAGTTTAGAATGTATACCTTTTAAAATACGACTGTCCAGTCCCACGGAATTTAAAGATGATGTTTGATTTGCTATCATTGATACTGAGTAAATGATCATACCTCGACCAAAATATTCTAGTGCGATTTGATTTGCGCAAGCTGCCTGACTTTTGTGTATCTGTTCAAGTTTTGTATATTTCACAAAATCAGAAGAATAGCACGTTGCAAATAAAAATGACAATATTAGAAGTGTAGTGAAATTCAAATAATTAATTTGATATGTTTTGAACATTTCCGAAATAATAACATATAATTATTGTTTTATTATATAGTTATTAATAATAATGAATAAATTTATAAGAATAATATTTTATAACACCTAATGAACTTGCACGTGTTTGAACTGAACAAATATTAACGTGATATACAAATTAAATATAAAGGTAGAAGTGAATATAAAATCAACATGATCTTAATTATCAGTAGGTCATTATATACATGCGTGATGCTATCTTTCGTGAAACGAAAACCATGTATTATAATTTGCCTCAGTTCAATCCTTACAAATCTTTACGAAACATATTATTTATAAATTCTGCGAATGAAATTAATCGTCTACTGGATTCCGATACTATCTCAAATATGGTTACAAAAACAATGAAAAATAGGCATTATGTCTATTGAGAAATTAACTAAGCAAATCACTTTATATTACAAAAGAACTACAAATTTCTTGTAGGATTCATCAAAATTAGGAATAATATTTGTATTAAATTTAAATATAATTGGCGTGTAGTACACAACATTAAGAACATTTTTTTCTTAGTTTGCATTTTTAATCTACTCCCACCACACGTGAGTGATCGTCAACTTCACAATACTATAGGGGGAAGTCCCCTAGTGGCGGGCACCTAAGGTTATTTATAAATAAATCAAAAAAATATTTTACGAAATATTTATTAAATTATGATTTATGTTAGATAACAAAGTTAGAAATCAAACTAAATTAAAAAAGCCGCAATCTTTGCTAAAAAATAATTAATACTATCAATCAAACTTTGGTATAAAAAAATATGATTTTAAAAAGTGGCACCTAGTACCGGACATTTCAAAATAACCTGCATTGATCACATATGTAGCCATCTCCACACTTTGAAATGTCTGCACATGTGTCTTTGACGAATATTTTTAGCTATCGCAAAAAAAAATCACTATTTATCCACCCTTTGGCTGGGCCATACTGACGATCTCAGCTGGTGCATTCACCATAAGATTTTCATTCTTTGACTAGGAAATACGAAAAATAGGGGTATGTAGTGACCGTTAGCACTCATACAGAACAAAATTAAATAATTGAAATAAATTACGTAAATTCTCACAAGAAATATCAATATGTTTACTCTCCGGCACCAAGGGACAACTTACTGTCCGGTGCTAAAGGACAGGCATTTTCGTTCATTTGGTGGCACCTACTAAAATTGATTAAATATTGCCATCTAATAATATTCTACCATTTTACGGATAACGATCGAGTACAACTTTTATCTTTGCATACCACTCAAATGTAAATGCATAAATATGCTAAGATTACCTCCATTGACATTTAGGTGAAACCGTGATTTTGCGTCTAAACAGGAAAGGGTTGATCTCGCCGTGGCCGTGTGCGTCACAGGCGAGGCTTGGCGCGTGATCCTGTACCTGTGTGCCCCCCATGCCCCTTGCATCTATATTTTGAAATGAAAAGATTTATACTCGCTTAAATAATACGTGTTAAATAGAGTGTCCGGTGCTTGCTGCCGTCCGGCGTTACGGGACTTTCCGCTACTATCGTCAAACTTTTAAAAGCCCAAAGTTTCTACGATACGTGTGAATTTGCCAATTTCGATATCGAACAATCTTTTGATAATAAAATGTCTACTGGTAATATCTGATATAACTTTTCTTTAAACAGTCACAATTATTTTTTCTTTTTTTATATTTTTTCTAATTTTTATTCCAAATTATTTAAACATTTGCCTACCCTAAGTATTTTATCATTACAATTATTTTCATATTATATTCTTCTCTTGACACTGCTCTTAATTATTATTTGCCAGATTTGGAATTTAAATAAAAAATGCGCAATTGAGTCTTGAGTAATTTATATGCTTCTATACATTTCTGTATAATTCTAATCAGCTGAAAGAGTATTAATATAAAAATTTGTGAACTAATATTTAGATTTTTATAATATGTGGAAGAACGAGGGGCTTGTTGTAACAGTTGTTTTTGGAGTCTGGAGCTGGTTGTTGTATCTAACGGGGCAAATAGTAAGGACTAGAAACGGCAAGAAAACGTCTAATAAGTTATATTTTTTTCTACTTATTTTCAATAATATTAATTTTTTTTATGTAATTCTTTTTATAAATCAATATAAACTTTAATTATTCTCATAATACGAAGAATAATTATAGTATCTCCTGTAACACAATTCGCATGTGCCCTATGACAAAAATGACGGACTTGCACAGTTCGGTATAATGCATCGGTCTGCAGGTCAATATAGCCATGACAATAATACACAGGACGGTTATCCTATTGCCATTTTGCTATAATTGTACACTCTATTTATTCTTTAATCGTTTTTAGTTTGAATTTTAAGGAAACGCATATTATTTTTCGCGGTATAGTTTTTCATAATTGGAAATTCTTTAACCTTTATACCTAACCCACTATTGCTTAAAATACCTGTCAAGAGACACCTCCGGATCCACAACTGCAGGAATCAACCTTTTGGAAACATGCAACGAGATCATGATTGCATATGCAATTATTATATCTAATTAGATTCTTTCAACCCTTGAACTGGCACTTGAGACGCGTTCCAGCAAACTATCCAGGGGAAGGAAGGTACTGTGTGTGTTGTGACCAATAAAACAAACAGTGTGATGAATTGTGCAACAACAAAACTTTGTGTACTAATAACTAACAGGGATATATACCATATCATACAAATCAATGCATAAACTATTTTATCTTGAGACTTTAAACACCAAACCTGTGAGTGTTACCAATAGACATTATAATCAATCGTGAATTCATAAACTGTGCTATCACAAGACTTTAATCATTACTAGAATTTAATTGATAATAAAATCAATCATTTTTACATATCATTATAACTAATTAATCTTTATACATTTATATTGTAACTTTACTATAACACCATAACTATATGAAGCAATGTTGAAAAATCATGTAAATTAATTTCCCATTGTTTTTTCAAATCGGGCCGGCATGTTCGAGCCTCACAAATTTTATTTAACCATCTCCCTCTACCTATATACTGAACTCCCTCTAATCTGTAATAAAATAATTTCCTACCCTACTCTAGGTACTAAGATAGTTATAAGAAATTATCCATTCTGTACGCATAACTTGAACCGTGAACATCATACAAATAAATACTATTATTAACTAACCAACTTATTTAACTTACATATAATTTCAGGTCTGATCTAGCCTTTTTAATAATAAATTATATCTGGTCCTTCGAGGTAATTAAGTGTCCGTGTGTAGTGAAGTTAATTATTGTTAATAAACATTGCGCCGGGCGTTTACATATATATATATATATATATATATATATATATACATATATATATATATTTTTTGTAGAGTTTCGAACAAGAAGTAATGAGACAACATGAACTAAGTGTGGTCCACCATAAACAAAAAAATTTCAAAAGTACCCTAGTACAACACTCTATAGAAAACGCCCATTCATTTAATTTCACTCCAAAGATTTTATATCATGAAAGTTGCATTTTTTAGGAGATTATTCGCGGAGAGTTGTCTTATTCTCTTGAATGTTTCTAACAGTGTCAACATTAGATCAGATCACAACCTATTACATGATTCATATTTAAATTTTTTACACTTTTTGACAAACAATTAATATCGACTTCATTTTAAGTTCAATAATTTAAGTATTTACACCCTAACATGAGAAAAAAACACACACATACAATCTCACAGTTCTCGTTTCAAGTGTTTACACGTGTTACATATGAATCCATCAAATACAGTTTAGTTCGCTTCCAAAAGCCAATAGTATAACTTCGAATACAATATTATTTGTTTTCAAATAATAATTTTAAAAAGACAACACTTTTAGTAATTTTGATTTACAAAAGTTAACTATTCGGCGGAAAAATAACTCACAAATTCATTTTTTGTCAAAAATTCTTGTTTAGTGAAAAAGTGCTAACGTATATTCAAACATACAGGTAATTAATTCAATTTTATCATTAATCCTTTCTTAAAAAATTTTTCCATAACTTTCAAAAAATTTCTATCATTTTTAATATCCTGTTCTAATAATCCACTCATTTATTTTTATCATTTTCATTTTGATCATATTATCATATTTCTGTACATTATTATTTGTTACAATTAATTTATTATTTAAGAAAAATCTATTTTCTTAATATTCTTAAACATATTGTTTGCTTAAATCTTATCAAGATCATGTTTCTTGACAGATGTCCTGAAGATGGAACGTACCTAGTTCCGAAACGTTGACAGTAAACAAATAATTAAATAAAGAAATTGTTTATTAAAAACTTTTCTTGTTTTTTTATTTTGTATTATTTTTGGATTCTTGTTCGAAACTCTACAAAAAATATACACGAATCCAAGACTCTACCATTCAATATATATATATATATATATATATACGAGGTCTGTTCAAAAAGTTTCCGGAATTTTCGTTTTTTTCAAAAAAATATTTATTTATTCGTCTACATTAATGTGGTCCCCTTCAAAGTAGTCCCCCCCAGATATAATACACTTATGCCAGCGTTTTTTCCAATTTTCGAAGCACCCTTGATATTCACTTTTTGATATGTCCTTGAGCACTCTTAGCGATTTTCTTCAATCGAGGAAAACCGCCGTCTTTTCATGGGTCTCTTCAACTTTGGGAATAGGAAAAAGTCACACGGAGCCATATCTGGTGAATTTTTGCACTTTGCAACACTTTATTTCATTTTTTACGCAAAATTTAATACAAATTCTTTGCAAATTTCAATTCTTCCATTGTAAAAATCGCCGAGCTCAGAAAAACACGTCGAACCTTAGCGACTACCACAGACAAAGTAAACAGTGAATATAGCTGAAAATTTCATCATACTTTAGGGGCATGTATACCAACACAATAAAAAAAAATTTTTGACAATCAGACACTCCAGACCCGCGAAATTTAATTATTAGTAATTCCGGGTACTTTTTGAACAGACCTCGTATATAGGTATCTAATCAAAAATATATTAATATGCGTGTGCGTACGTAATTTATTCCGCAGTTACACATATTCTGGAAAAGACTACACAATTCGAGCAGGTTCTAATCGACATGACATGGGTGGTGAGATTTACTCGGTAATAGAAGCAGTGAGACACCCACATTACAATGCATATAATACTGATAATGATGTGGCTCTGGTGCGAGTTGAAAAACAATTTTCACTGAATGGGAAATCCTTGCGCGAGGTGAAATTAGTGAATTCAGGAGGTAATCCATCGAGCGGCACTTTAGTGACAGCCACCGGATGGGGCACCTTAGAGGTAAATAAAAAATAAATTTTATTTTTAAAATTCAAGGTAATGTCATCTCTCAACAAATTATGAAGGAAAATTAACTAAGCTGAACTCTGTGATTATTGAAATTATTTAACACATTGCTATGGGCGTGTATGGGTTAACTGCATTAATGAAACAATATTGAATAGTACTGTTCTAGGGCAGTTCCGTGAGCTGAGTTGAGCTCTACCTCGATTCAGGGAAAAGTAGTGTGAGAGATTACCCATTGCCATTTCAAACCGCAGTGCCCAAAATGGGTTAGTTTTAATATGAAATATGTTTTGATCTATATTTTTAAGTAAAAATGGACATAGCCGCTGCACATTGTCCACATCGGGGACAATGTGACCTCACGACTTTGTCTACATAAGGCAGTGTGCTTAACATTTATGCCATAGAACACCCACGAATGCATTATTCGAAAATTTCTATTTTCCCACTCCTGGCTGATAATCTCATAGATTGTTGGACATATCAACAAGAAATAAAACTATTAGTTAGTAATTATATGAGTTCCTCATGGTGTTCCACGTGTAATGTGATTTCGATCATTTTAAATAATAAGAATTAGAAACTGAAAGTTATAAGTGATAAACTGTAACATTAAGTTTGGAAAATGGGTTATAATATGGGGACAATAGTTTTAGGTTCTGGTTCCAAATTAGAATGAGATGTATATTGTGAAAATGTCATATTGTGACAATTGGGGTTGAAGCCCCCTTCTTGGGGTATGCAATGGCTGCCAAATACTATATTCTAGCCTTGCAACCACATTACGAAGGGCTTACTTCAACACTCCAATCGTCCGCTAAAGTACCTGTAATTACCTGTGGGGGTTACATACATGGGGGTTACATACATCAGGATCCTGAGTAACAGAAAATTTTAGTAAATAATGCTTAAAATTAAATTAGGTTATTATTTAAATAATTGTTATAAACTTTTGTTACAATTAACTAAAAACATACTACTCATGTATCATTTCGTTAATTATTGTTTGAGTTAGTTATTTGTAAATATTTTCTATATTACTTTTATATTTTGAATATTGATCAGAACTTAAAGGTCCTATAGGCTGTTGCACTAATTTGACTTAATACTATTTTCAATACTAGCCGGTTTTACAGATGGAAACCCAAACAACTGTCCTATCTCTGTGTGCTGAATTATTATTACAATTTCTGTAATTCGGTGAATATTTATTGATGCAGCAATGCTGATTAGGGACTATTCTCAATTTAAAAAAATGTTATATATTAAGTGAAAACCGTAGTCACTTAACAACAGGCTGTTTGAACCGTGATGAATCCTCTGATTTAGTTCTAGTCGTTCTAGCCACTTTCCTACGAACGAGTACATTTTATAAATATAAGTAAATTCGTAACAATATAGCCAGCAATAATTGTGTATAAAATATCTACTATATACATGATGTTGTACACCAGAAATTTATTAACAGTTATCAACATCTATATCATATTAACTATCATATTAAATTTATTAATCTTTACAAAATGAACTCGTTACTAAATACAAAATAATATATGTACGCTTTTTGTCTTTCCTTAAAATAAATGATTTCTTAACATAAATTAAATTTTTAATGTTATAACTAATGTAAATTTTATTTTTTATTTATATGTTAGATGTTTTGCTAGACACTGGCATTAATAGTCAATTTTATATTGTTTTTAAACATTTATAGTATTCTATCTGTTTGATCGATAGCAATATCAGAGTTACCTTGATTTGATTGATCTTCACTTATAATGTGATATTAAACAACATAAAATATACATCTAGTAATATTTGAAACGAACTAAAATACACATTTGAATCATATCAATAAGTTTCATATACATTTATATATCGTTAGTTAATAATTTGTTATTTTAAGAATGAAATTTGTGAAAGTTTTACATTATTTTCAGCATCATGGCACCGGTACAAATAAGCTGAGAAAAGTTACAGTTCCAATTGTAGATCAACAAAAATGTCGAAAACTCTATGATGCAAATGATGATATTATTACGAGCAAGTAAGATTGAAATTGTAAATAACACACAATAAATAATTATATATATATATATATATATATATATGAATATTTTCGAATTTCTTTGCTCCCAGAGGCTCCAATGCTTCCAAATTAATTTAGAAAAAAAATCTGAAATTTTTAGCTCTTAATATTAACTCTAGATAGTCCGCAGTCCAACTAAAGTTTCTTGGCTTTTCTTCGTAAGTAAATACTTATGCCATAAAATACATCACATTTTTGCTGTTTTTTTATTTATAATCAAAATAAGCAAATAGCAATGTTATTCTTTTATTCGTTTTGATTCACTGGTCGCTAAGTTATTAAATTCTACGAAAGAAATGGAATCTTACCCTTTTTTCTATAAGAAACTTTGGTTGGAATGCGAACTATCTTAAAGCTAATATTAAAAGCTTAAAATTTAGAGAATCTTTTTTCTATTAATTTGGAAGCATTTAAGCCCCTGCAAGCAAATACAAATACAAAATATCCATATTAAAGACCACCCTTCAGGACTTTTATATAAATTTTCCTGCATGTCAACCAAAAATGTGAATTACCTAGTTACTCTATTTCAATTACAAATATTGCTACATTAGTATTGAAATGTGAATATGTCGTATTTCGTAAACATGTTAATTTTTTCTGAACAAAACTTCTTTATTAGTATGGTATGTGCTGGTGTTCGAGGTAAAGATTCTTGCCAAGGTGACAGTGGAGGGCCATTAGTAACAGAAGATGAAATATTAGTCGGAATCGTATCTTTTGGATCAGGATGTGGCCAACTACCTGGAGTTTATACAAGAATTGCTTCACCACAAATAAGAGAGTTCATAAATAGAATTGCTCATGTATAAAACTAAATATTAAAACGTTGATAAAGTGTAGTTAACAGGATTTCTCATGAACACAATTTGCAATTATAAAGTAATCAGTCTAATCTATAGACTCGTATTTCGTATCAGTAAGCAACATCTCAACATATCATTTCCGTTGATTTCCTTATCTAAAGTGGATTCAAACCATATTCTTTCATTTATAAAATACGTCTATAGTCGCAGACATGTAATTGAGTGATATGTGAAAATCAGAATAAAATGCAGAAATTATTGATACTAGTTTCATTTTTATTTCCCTTGATCGTCTGTAAAGGTACGTAATGAATTAACAATATAATTGATATTTTACTATCGATGCAATAAAACTAAATAATAAGAAATCTATAAATGATATGATATGCCTCTATGAGCTTAATGCTGAGTTTTCGAATTAATTTTAAATTTGTGTAAATTTTGAGTTCGTTTGTAAATTAGTTTTTTTGGATTTTTCAGAGACGTTTTAAATAATAAATAATAAAATATTTTTAAAAATGGCGCTAATGATGTGCCACTAAATAAAATCCTAACTAGTATCTTCTATTCAGTTGCATGAATTTTCACTTTCTTTTATATCTCCACAAATCAAACGTTATAAAATTTTAATACAAATTCAAATCATAATTTAAATTCAAATAGGATAAAACCATATAATTACTTATTTAATTTGAAAAACTCTATTTAAGTGACAATGGTCTATGATTATAATGTATTTTTTGATAAAATAATTGAATTTATAAAATCAATTTTAGTAAAACAATACGCGACTCATTTGACTTACAGAATGAAGTTTGTTAAAAGAAAAAGAAAATTAATAAAAAAATATATGTAATATTCATTTGAAGTTTATTACTTTAACTTCTAAATTTATACAATCTGCAAATAATCATTGTAGCCAACACATATTAATTTGTAAGTAGAAAAAAAGTGTGAGTTTTTTTTAGAAATTTTCGAAGGATGATACGACCATCAGCGCTAAAAATCTATGAGTATTCATATATAGATTTGTATGTAGGAATATTTCAAATAAATTTTTACTGTATAAATCTTAAGCAGAGAACCGAATTGTTGGTGGAGAAGAAGCTAATATAGCGCAACATGGCTGGCAGGTATCACTTTTATTATTCGGAAATCATTATTGTGGTGGAGTAATTATTGACAAAAATTGGATTTTAACAGCTGCACATTGCATTGAAAAGTAAGTATATTTTCTTCTATTATTTCATTTATAATCCCGATTATATATGCAATGGTGATACATATAAAAATGACTTCATTAAAAATATTCAGATTTTTTTTTTCATAAAATTATGATTATTTGCATTAAATTTATGAAATTATGGATAAATAATGTAAACATTAATACAACAATAATACAACATAATACATCAATAATGAGCGTTCTAAATCAAAAAAGTATAGTGCAAATAATTACCTTATATCGACATCCAATGCTCTCTGGAAGTATTTGACGCTGCTCACCTGAAAAATGTTATTAACATTATTCTTAATGTTTAAGATTTTTTTATTTAACCTTAAAAATTTATAGCTTAAAAATCGTAAAAAAATGTAAAACTCAATAAACAATAACTTTGTTCATTATCGGAAATTCGTAAATATCACTCTTTGAGAGAATGGAGCATCCGATTAGAATGATTCAGAAAACATATTACTTGTGGTGACGGTGTGAAGAAATGATTAGTTTCTGGTAAAATATCCAAAATAAAAAAAAAAATGTTTGCTATCATTTCTTTTTAAAAATATCTAAAAAGTTTTTGAAATTTTTCACATATACAAAGTTATTCAAAAAATTTAGAGATTTTAAGAAGTTTCTTATATAGCTGAAACAAATTTAGAGGGAAGTCCCGTAACGCCGGACGGCACCTAGCGCCGGACGGCACCTAGCGCCGGACACTATTTAACTCGTATTACTTAAGCGAGTATAATTTTTTTCATTTCAAAATATAAATATTCAAGAAACATTCGATTTGTATTGACAAGGAGACGCGCTGATTAGTTTTTGGCGAAGGCAGGTCCAGCCGTTCCGAAGATATGGGACAAAAAGTGCCAAAAAGGGTAACTCAGTTTTTAAGAGAACGGAGCGTGCGATTTGAATAAATCAAAAAAATACTTTACTTGCGTTAACAAGATGAAGAACTGATCTAATTTTCACGAAGGCAGGTTCAGCGGTTTTGGAGATCCAGTAAAAAAAGTAAAAAAAAAATGCCATTTGGCGGTCAAAAATGATCATTAGATATATGCACCTCAAATTATCAGATATTTTATAGAGATTTTAACAATATATAAATTTTGTTTACATTCTTATGGGTTCCGGCGCTTACGCGCTTCGATATTTCGTCTCTATGCAGTTAAAGCAGTACGATAGCTTTGAAAAAAAGTTCAGAATTTCCAAAATAATTCAAAATATATTTTTCTTCAACAAGTCTTTTTTTATCAAAAAAAAAGTAAATCTTTGTCAAAAATTTATAGTTTCTCAAAAATCTAATTATTTCAGAGTATTTTTTTTTTCAAAAATGTTAATCTTTTTTAAAAAAAATAATTTGTATTACGGAAAGTTCCAGCAATTTGCCTTAATGCACGATGCCATGCGCTCCACTAGTTTAATTTTGTTCTGTATGAGTGCTAACGGTCACTATACCCTCATTTTTCGTATTTCCCAGTCAAAGAATGAAAATCTTATGATGAGTGCTCCAGCTGAGGGCCCAGCCAAAAGAGTGGATAAATAGTGATTTTTTTGCAATATCTAGAAATGTTAGTCAAACATACACGTGTGTTCAATGCAGGTTGTTTTAAACTCGGGGCTTTCCCCTAATTATTCAATTAAATTTCAGAATGTTTATATAATAAAAATTAGATGTATAAAATGAGATCGTCTTGTAAACATAATATATACAGTCTATTTCCCAAATATACGCACCTTCATTATATTAGATCTTTGAATACGAATTACGATTTTTATAACAATAATTCGAAAATATTTAAAACAATTGTTATTAATCATTGATTAATTGTTATTGATTATTGACTCAATTTGCTTTAAGGCACAATACCATTCACCGCTGGTTTTTCTTTTTAATCTTGTATCATTCTTTTTCTAACAGCGAAACAAATGCCAATAAAA